GACAGGGAACTGCTTGAAAGAGTCCAGTGGAGAACCACAGAGATGATGAAGAGAGTGGAACATCTCCCTTGTGAGGAAAGGCTGAAGGAGCTGGGTCTCTTTAGTTTTGAGAAGACTAAGGGGTGACTTTATTAGTGTTTATAAATATATAAAGGGGGAGTGTCATGAGGATGGAGCCAGGCTCTTCTCGGTAGCAAACAATGATAGGACAAGGGGCAATGGGTTCAATTTGGAACACAGGAGGTTCCACAAACTTCTTCCCAGTGAGGGTGACAGAGCCCTGGCACAGGCTGCCCAGGGAGGTTGTGGAGTCTGCTTCTCTGGAGACATTCAAAACCCGCCTGGATGCCTTCTTGTCTAACATCATCTAGGTGTTGCTGCTCTGGCAGGGGATTGGACTAGATGATCTTCTGAGGTCCCTTCCAATCCCTAGCATACTGTGATACTGTGATACTGTAATATAAACCTCCCTTGGTGCAACTTGAGCCCGTTTCATGCTAGATAGTAGGAAACAAGTGGCAGCTGGTACTAATGGACGCTCATAGAGGACATGGGCTTGGTGTGTGAGGAAAAGGAACAAGGAAGAGACAGCAGGCTGCCCTGATGTATACTGAAGAGGGTACTTTCTTGATCTCTAAATATCTTTTCCTGAAATGTGATGGCTTATGACATTCCTTGATGGTTTCAGCATGGTCTTGCACACTCAGTCCTGAAACAGGACAGTCTTAAGTCAGTGCCAGAGAGATGAAAGATCTACAGCCACATGACCTTCCTGCTTGTCTGACCATACAGAGGTCTATACTGGGGTTGGTAGGTTGATTGGTTTGTTTTAAGCCTGTTCTTCCAAAGGGAGTAAGAGATAGCCAAAGCCTCTATCCCTCCAGTTCTGGCTGCGAGCATTTCTCTTATGTCCTTGTGGTGGGAGAGTGTAGGCACTGCTGTGGGCTGCTGCTGGGCCCCAGAGGGCAGGTTCTTGATGTTCTTACCGACAGCTTGGGATGGAGCTGTGTATTCCACAGCTGTGTGTATTGCTCTGGTCAAAACTGTGGTTCTGCAGTGAGAAAGCTGCTTCTTTGTCTCCTGCTGCCCTCCAGGTCCCTATTGTGTCACTTCTTGCTGTCCCCAGCAGTTTTTGATGCCCCAGGCCTGTGGTGCACTCAATGAGAGGAAGAGCATGCTCCCAGGAGTCTTATAAGCAGCACAATTACCGATGCCTGGATATGTTCGTGTTCTTTCATTTTTGTTGTAGAACTGGGAAGTAGCAAATAATAAGCTTTGGTTTAAAAGCTAATTAAAATTACCATGGCTTAAGTGTTACCACGAAATTCAGGGCAAAGCTGTGCACCGATACCCACCCTTTTCCCTGCTTAGAAACCCTACCAAGAACCAAATGTTCACCGTTGTAGTGCGCATCAGCCTTTACTCTGGTATCAGTAGTCTGCTATTAGAGGGACACATGCATCATACTTGCCCTTTTGCTAACGCAAAAAGCGCACCATCACGAATCTGTTACAGGTCAGGATCTGAAACCACAGCCTCCACTCTCTCTGCATTTTTGGGTTTTGGGGTCTTTTTTGAAGATAGGCACCTCCTGGTGCCCCATGCTGAAATGTAGACGCTGCAGCAATACTTTTGTACCACAGAGACTGAATCTAGAGAACTAGCTGAGTATTGCAGGGTGGCTGGTTGGTTTTGATTTTTCCTGAATACGTTTAGTTTGTACTTCTAACACCATGCCAGAACTTGACAGGAAATTGCCCGAGTTTGTTTCCTTCTTTTATTATGAAATTGCTTTAATGTTTGAATGGAGTTCTTCCATAAACATCTTTCTTTGCCAGATGTTTCGATTAAAATCAGGGTTTGTCCATGCTGAAGTAGCATTAGTTTAGCTGTTTCAAAGTAAGCAATGCTGATAGGCAAGTGTAGTAGTGGTGATGTGTAAATATCAGCATTTACTGAGTAAAGTTGGTGTAATGAGTGTAAGCTGGCTGCCAGTGAACCTGTGAAACCATGTGGTCCTGTGTGCTACCCATGTAAACCATGGTTTTGGTGATGGTGGTGGCTGTGGTGGTGGTGTCATACACATGGTGGTGACATAAACTGCACTTGGTTACACCCTCACTTGTGCTTTTTGTTTGAGGATCCCTGACACTGATTTCTGCTCATGGCTCTTTCACAGGCAATTTTCCTGTTGAATGTCGGCATTCTCCTGAGCTACAAGACTGGGAAACAGAAATAAAATTAGTCTGTCCTGCAAAACTCCCTGCCTGATGCCACTTATGGTTACAAGCCCTTGATCAAAAACCATTTCTCTAAAAATCAAGTTGTTATCTTATGTTCTATTCTGTATGTTTCTGTTTCTTTTCAGGGAAGGATCACGTTTGCAGATTTATCGGCTGCGGAAGGAATGAAAAATTTAATTATGTGGTTATGCAGCTTCAGGTGAGTTCTGTGCTTCCCCTCTCTCCCCTATGCAGTGGAGATGGCATCACCGGGAAGGATTTAAAGTGAGAGAATAAGACTAGGCCCTGGTGTAGAGACTTTGTTGTACTTAGAAAGTGGGTGGAATGGGAGACAGCGAGAATGTGTGGTGTTGCTGTGATATCCCTTTGGATAGCTCCAGTTGTCAGGATGCGCTAAGATATTTCATAGCTCTGCTTTTCTGTTTTAAGACGGTTTTCTGCCAGTTTTCTGGGGAAAGCACTCAATTCAGAATGCTTGCAGGAACTACCCACAATATCGTGCAGCAGTGGCAGCTGTTTGAAATATCTTCTTCTGAGGTTTGTGATGCAGCGTTCAAAATATGCGTCTTGTATCAGAGCTCAGAGTGTTGTAGGAGCCAGTGGTGTCACAGCAGCAGCAATCTTCTCTGTGCAAGGAAATGATCTCTGGCTCTCCCGTCCCTACCAAGCTCAGCAGCAGCTTGGCTTCTGCTGTGAAAGCATTTTCTCCTGTTTGAGCGCTGCTGATATTAAGACAATGTGGGTAAATGCTTGGATAGCTAGCACGTGGTGACTGTACTGCTAGACAGCCGGCTACTGCTATCAGAGTTAGTCAGCTGAAGACCTACATGGATGTCTGCACAAGCCACAATAACAGCAGGAGCTGCAGGGACCTCTGCATGGTTCAACGTGAAACTTCACCAAGAAAATGTATATAGCTAGATTTTCAGAGCCCAAATATGGTGGTACTGTAATGAAAACAGTTTTTCACAGAAGCAGCTTTCTTTTACAGCACACAGTCACAGGAGAAAGAATTGGAGAGCAACAAATGGAAATAGATGGCTGAGTCAGAAACACATGGAAGTCAGGCCTTTAAGGAGGGGGAGATTGTCCCTGGCTCAAGGGGAATACTTTCAAACTAAAGGTGTTTCTTTCTGACACAGTTGCCTTGGAAGCTGGCCTGTTTCATTACCTGACGTAAGCATTGACAGGGAACTTGTCCTATCTCTCTTGCAGCTTTTGTATGATCAGGGCTTTGCTGTGCAAAGCACTGTGATGGTACGATACAAGCCTTCCCCTGAAGAGCTTACAGCCTGTGTCGTGTTTCGTTATGTATAATTTGGATGATAGAATATGCTGAAGGAAAGTGCAAAAGTTGCAGGGCTAAGCAATGAGAAGCAAGCTGCTGCATAAACTGGGAGGTTGGTTTTAGTTAGTGAATGGTGAGTGAAGTAAAAAAGACACCAGTAGACCCCAGTACTTCTTTAAAATAAACTTTGGATTCTTCTGAAGTGTAATGCTACTTTGCAAGGCAGATGTATAAAACCAATGAATTGCTGGTGCTTTGATTTGCCTTTTACACACCAATTGACATCCCAACTGCTGTTATGGACAGAAAAAACCTTTTGCTCTCTAACCGACACGGATTATTGCTGTTACTGCAATGTCAGTGTGAATATGATTCTTGAAAGGGCAAATCTGGAGCTCATGGAACAACAAGGCTTCTAACCCCCCAATCCTGTCCTTAACAAGCCTGATGAAGATGACCTATACCTTAGAAAAAACCCCTCTCTGCACAGATCCTCTTACTTTCTAGTCTGTTTTTTACTTATGTAGCTGAGCTACTTAGTAGGCAGAGCTAAAAAGCATTTCATAAAATGAAGACTTTGGTACTTGAAGCATTAACTAGTTCTGCACCATCATTCTTCAGGCTAAAATAGTCTTTCTTCAGCTTCAAACCATGTCTCCTTAGACATGTTTTACAATGTGTCCCTCTGACTGTTGTGTACTGCAATTCTTCCTTTCTCTTCAGTCACTAGGACTGAGGATCCTACTCTAAGCTTTGCAACTCATTTCATCTGCTCTGTTTCTTAGCAAGCCTGATGATATTCATCTGAAAAATAATGCTCATTTTCTGTCTGTTCCTGGAGGCAGTATGGAATATTCACATGCCTTGGGTTGTTTCTGGAGAGCAGGTGTCCCAAACCAGCTGGGGAACATTATGACACATTTCAGTGTGTGGGTCTGAAAAAAATCTGCCTTTCCCTATTACCATTGGATAAGAGAGCTGGTGTCCAAGGAACCGCATCACAGTGCAAAGAAAGATCTGCTGTCAATTCAGTAACTCAGATCTTTCAGGATAGTGGTGGCAAATCTGTGCTGCCTATAGTAAACTGTCACAGAAATTAAGAAAGGTAAGTACTAGAGAAGTAGCTTAGTCTTACTTTGTTCATGCTAAGGAGCAAACCTGGAGGCTTCATGCTAAGGAGCAAACCTGGCTCTATCTGTATTGGCTGACCTGTATCCACTGTGATGAGCCCTGAAGTGAAACATGGGTCAAACCAGTTTGAGAGACTAGTCATATGCTGAAAGAGCCAGTTGCAGTTGGCCCCTTAGTGTCTATAAATAACTTGACAATTGGAAGTGGGTGGATGAATAGACAGCATTTCACTGGTTTGGTCAGCAATCCCTGTTTTCTCATCAAATGTTTGGAATCTTGTATGGATCTTCTGTTGTGAATTCTGTTTGAGTACATCTGGACTTGTAAGCCTGTATATCTTTGCAGAAGAAAAATCAAAAAATCTATAGTATAGTGACAATCAACATGTCCCTATAACTTTTGTTCTTGATGCACATTCTCTGAAACAGTGGACTCTTATTCCTAATGCTGTTGATCAGTTTATAAATGCATTAGTTCTGTGGATTAGAGGGGTGTTCTGCCACAGAAGGTATTAATTTTCACACCTTCCTCTTTACAAATCTAAAGATGTATAGACAAAACTGAGATGATAGAGATCAAAGAACACTGACTCTTCTGGTGTTTAGTCTGTCCCTTTTTTTTTTTTTTTGCTAAATTGTCTTTGTTTTCATGCACAGCTGGTAGACATTTTCCCCACAAATTTAATTAACTGGAGGTAAATTACCAATATTTTTAATAAGTGTTTTTTAAGTCAGGGGAAAAAGCATCCTCCGGATTTTGGGTATGATTCTCTTGATAGACATTTTTCCCCACTGTGGCCTTATGACAACAATGCTGAGCCAGACATTTGTGTGCTGGGGAGTTTCTGACGAAACTGCTTCTGTGAGCTGTAATGGACAGCAGCTCCGTGACCCGTTTATCATATTTGTTCTGCTTTAATCTATAGATGGCTTAGAGAACAGTCAAAGGTTGTTCTTAGATCAGCCTCTATATAGTTCGGGTTTAACAGTATGGAGACACTGGGCTTGCACAGCCTGAAGCACTGCTGTGCCTATTTCCGAGTAGCACAATCAGCTGACTTCCCAAGATAACAGTTGGTACCTTCTTCTCAGCAAATACCTCACTTACAAGTTAAAATGAAGTATTGGAAGATGACGTACAAGAAATAAAGCAGACCTAAGGTGGGCACCTGCCTAATGAGCATTTCTTCTTTTTTGGGGATGCACCTTAGAACTTGCAGCTGTTAATTGCTATGCTTTTGTGTGATGGTTTACGTGTTTTATTGATTGTTTCAGGGCCGAAATCTTGCAGATCTCAGAAGGAGTCAGCCTCGAGGGACTTTCACGCTGAGTACAACACTGCGATTAGGCAAACAGATTCTGGAATCAATAGAAGCCATTCACTCTGTGGGATTCCTGCATCGTGACATCAAGCCTGTATGTTGTTTTGGAAATTTTCCTTCTGGTTGTATGTCTGTCTGTTCTTGCTTGAAGTCAATAAAGTCAGGCTGAATATGGGCAGGTCTTGGTGGAGGCATTTAGGCCTCCTTGCACACTCCCACTGTCTGACACATTGACTATATCTTCTGTAAGCACAAAATAGTAATATAGTGTTGCTTTTCCTTCAAGTGCATAGCAAAAACTGGTTTTTATCGCAGAGGATGCTTCATGGTGAGTTAGTAGCTGTCAGTCATACTTGCACCAGTCAAGATCACATGATGAAGCCATCTAATTTTGGACAATCATTTGGAGTCCAACCAATTATTACTATAAAAGGAGTTCAGAAAGAATGTCTTGCTCAATGACCCATCACTTGAATAAAAGCTATTTCCTATATTTGACTTAGCTAAATAATCCTCTTAATCTTTTCTGAGCCAAAAAAATTGGAGCACTGTTTCCAGTGTCGGAAGCACAGTCATGGTGTTCGTCGTCTGCTTGGATGAGCCACAAGAATTCCAAGTCTCACTGTAGGATCCAGTCTTTTTCCTGTAGCACTTCACTACTTGACCTGAACACTAGTTGCTACATCATCCCTGAGACCATCTTCCTTCCAGGAAAATCAGTTGCTGCGTTTAAAATTATCTGGATTTGGCTGATCAGATTCAGCTGAAAATTGGACCACCAGTAATGAGACTGGCCACAAATCCTTTAGCAACTATCCATTATGGTAGAGGATATAACTTGTAAGAGGCTCCATTTGCTTGTTGTTGGTTTATTTACTAAGAACCAAATCCAGTGGTTTTTTAAATGTCTAAATGTTCAGATGAATTTAGGTAATGCAGTACAGTGGATGGAGATTCTGGGAGTTAGGGCACAATAACACATACTAGCAGCTGAACCATGAGCAGAAGCATTTGTCTACAGTAACTCCAGCCTGTTATGCAAGTGAGGGAGCTCTCACTGCAGAGCTAGTGGTGTTAAATGTAGCTCTTTCTCATAGCAGCTGAAATTTAGCTAAGCTAATGTGAAATTTAGTTATTTTGAGACTCTACAGGCACTTAGCTGCAAAGTGAACTTCTTAACATGGCAGGGATTCTCTAATCGTGATGTTTCAGATGCATCTTAAAATTCTTCTCTTTGACTTGTGTTTCCACCAGAGGCACGTGGGGCTGTATGACAGTTTTGTTAACTGATGGGCACACTTTCCTAAGTTGCTGGTATGAGATTTCTTTTTTCCTTTCTTTCTTTCCATTCGCCATGGGCCGCTTACCTTCAACGTACAGGAAGTGCTACATGCTAGACTTTGGTCTGGCCCGTCAGTATACCAACACTACTGGTGAAGTCCGGCCAGTAAGTAAATACTAAGTATTTTTTTTTCCACTTCTGCAATTGCTTAGGCATGGGAAAGGTTTTGTGATTTTGTTTGGTTTGTGGTTTTTATGCTTGGTCATTATATTGGACTGCATTTTCTGCAAGGTGAGATGCAGCAGGTGACTTCAACTGAGTTGGGAATCTAAGAAGGGATGCTTGCTTTTGTCTTGTAAGGTGTGTGGCTTTTTTTTTTCTTTCTTTTTTTTCCCTTTAGGATAGTCATGTTTTCCACAGACTTAGAGTACTCACTGAGTACCTTATGACCAAGGAAAGAGGGTGAGCCCAGTGCTGGCCATGTAATTTCAGTAGTCCCAGAGGACTGGTCTAATTCAGTTCTTTGTGATCTGGAGAACCAGGTCGGTGCGTTCTTAAAGCTTTTTATGACAAAAATGCTAGAATTTAGAGGCTGACCTGATCTCTGAGGCTGAGCTTACTGTGAACTGCAACCTGTAATGCTGTTCTCACCCTTGCCAGGCTTTGGTTTTGTGTATATTGCTCCCATTCAGATTTCTTAGCCAGGAGTATTTCAGCATGCCCACTTGGAGGGGAGGTAAGGGCAAGGGCCATGACTTGTGCCACGTGACATGTGTGATATCTTCAGCTGTTTTACTTGCACTCTGTTATCTGAGATCGCTCATATGGATGCATTAAGCTTCAGACGCACTAGGTATCAGTCAGAGTTTTCCTAGATTTATTTCAGAACACAGCACAAGCAGGGAGAGCTCAAACAATCTCTCTGTTTATCATCCTAGGCTTATACCTTTTTGGTCTGCACATCTTTTTCATCTGCAAGATAACTCATGTGCCAGAAAATGTTGACAACGTGAGAGCTAAATCCACAGACTCTGTAGTGCATGATATGGTTGGGGAGTGAGAAGAAAGTGAAGATCAGAGAGCAGATTTTGTGTCTTTAGTAGATGGACACAGCTGGAGGACTCTTCTTCTATTTGTTCTTCTTTTTTTATAAGTCTTTTCAGTTGGATATTACAAGGCTTTTCTTTTTTGCTGTAGATAGGAGCAACTCCAAAGGTTGTGTCTGCATCTTATTCTTAAAAAGACACACACTACGTGGTGGTCTCCCCTGTCAACGTTGTTTAGTTTGGGGATAACCCTTCTTTATATTGCCCTTTTCAAAATGCAGCCCCACTCCTTTCCTCTTTTTCCAGTTGGGATTCAAGCCCATTATGAATTGAAACTGACATTTGGTTTTCTGCAAAATGTCTTCATTGCTTCAGTAAAGCAACTCTATTTTAACTCCGTATTTCAAGTCCCACTGTTTGAATGCTGTTCTTTCTTTACAAGCACAGAAACTGTTTTTTTCCAAATGCTTTTTCTTTTTTTATCCTCTCTTTTCTTCCTTTCTCCAGCTAATGTAAAATGACTTTGTTTTTGTTTTGCTGTACCCTTAAGGAATATTCCCATTCCTCATTTTGGAAACAGTGTTGATATTTTTCAGAGCAAAAGATTCTACATCTGTGTCCCGTAAGCTGTGTCTTACTTGGGTTAATGTGGGTGAGGTGAGGCTTTGTTAGGATGCAAGACTTTGAGATGGTTGGTCCTGATTCTGGTCTTTGTGGTGGTTGCTTGCTTGCTTGCCACAGATGGGTCTCACAGGAGGCCTAGTGATACATAATCTTTTCCTGAAAAATGTCCCAGGGATCCCCAGAGGGGTGGGAGTATGCTCTGCTAGAACTGGTAAAAAGTCTCCTTTTGTTTGGGATGTGGGAGGATCATACAGGCTAATGCCTAATTTACCTGTTCTCCCATGCAGCACTTCAGGTGATGAGGTTTTTTTGACAACAATGATACAATAAAAAATACATACATGTTTACTTTAACATTATGCCTTTTAACATTATGTTGTAGTCACCAGGCTGTTCAATCCTTTTGTGTCCCTGCTGCCTGATACTGTTGAATCCCACTTAACAGAGACTGTTGCCTGGAGAAGCATGATGTGATTGCTGCCCAAATAATGCACTGAGGATTAGGAAGGGGATGGGGGAGAAAGGCAGTATGAAGACAAGTGAAATGAAACTTTTTTCCTGTTTTTTCTTTTCTTTTTGTAATTAAGAACTTTATCTTTTATTTCACCGAAGAGATTTTCTCAAGCCATTAAGGTAGAATCTTTTTCTCCGTTCTCTTTCAGTTCCTTTATCCATGAAGAATACAATTTCCAGATATATAATATGATCATCTTTAGCCTAGTTTTTTTGTGATTTTGTTCTGAGGTACAATACACAAGAGAGACAGGGGAACAAGCTCACTTCTTCTTTTTCTGGAAGCCTATCTGAACTTTGCTTTCAGTCGTATTCATTTATTAACAGACATTTTCTGCTCAAGTAGGTTCTCTGTAGTTTCCTAGAGTTTCGGAAGCATTGTTGTACTTTATGAACAATACCATAAAATGTATTTGGTGTTTTCACATCCTCTGAAATTCATAAACTCAATCTTGTTTGTCAGCTTTGCGTAAAGACTCTGAATGACTTGCTAGTAATACAGATAATGAGTCTGGCCTTTAGGAAGCTGTGGCTTTGTTTTGTTTGTTTGTTTTTTAACTTACCTTTTGCCTTCTTATTTTTAGTCACTTTTTTTTGTTTTGAAAACACTTCGATTTTGAAAAAGGGAAAGGCCAGTGATTCTGTGGAGCAAAATCCTCTAAAAAGCTGTATTGGCACTGTTTTGTTGTATTTATTTTATTTTATGTTCAATTCAATGATGCCAAACAGTAGAGTTTTTCTTTAATATGAGAAGGCAAGTAGCTCCTTAGTAGGCATATAGCATAGGCTGTCCCCAAAATGGTGTCAGTATACTGATTTTCTAGGGATTGGTTAAAGCTTTGAGGTGGGGTCATTTTTACTCTCTGTGATCTTCATTGAGCATTAGTTCCTCCACCTTCAGCTGTTACCACTCTGGCTTTTCCAGCTCTGTTTCAAAGGCTGCCACAGTAGCTTTTGCTTAGTGAGCTGTTACTCTGCAAAGCTTCTGATGAATACTACACATTTGGTTTGTATGGTATTGGTTTTGTATGTTTCTGTGTTTTGACAGTTCAACTTGATTGCCCGGCATTTGTAAAGTTATGGAGCACTTGGCTTAATTAAATCCAAATTTATTCCAAATCTGAATTTATTCTGTGCTTCTAGAAAGACAAAACTGATCTACCCTATGTGGGATGTTATTATTAGCACAAATGCTACTCTTTGGAGAAAAGCTGTTGTCACACAGGTTTTCTTTCATGGGAATGGTCCCACCTCTCTAGCACTTTCTCCTTGCCAGATGTTGCAAAATCTCCCAGATAACAGTCAGTAGGAACTCACCACATTGCACTATAAAGACAGAAGATGTTCAGAGACAGAAGGTGTGTAAGGAAGCATCAGCAACAATTTTTCCGTCTGTTAGCAATTGAGGGAACTCAGCTGTTCTCAGCAGTCTCATTACCTGGTATTTCTCAGAGTCTTTGATAGTTACTCCTTTGAACAGGTAGAGCCAGATGTGCATCAGCCACGTAATCATTTGGTGTCCAGTGTCTGCTGAGAACTGCTTAGGGCCCGGCTGAAGGCTATTCCTTTGGCTACCGTCAGCATCTCTGGCACTTGGATCAGAGTCAGCATCTCAGCTAGCAGGAGACTCTGACTATCGTAATAAACAGGACAGACTGCTAGTGCAGAGAGTTTTGGTTTTGAACACCAATAAATAAAGGAAATAAAGGAAAAGTGAGGCAGGTTGACAAAAATGCTAGAGGAGATGCTGATTTTTTTACTGCTCCTCCCTGCCCCTCCTAGCCCCACTCTCATTTTCACACTCCTGTGTGAAAGATGGCAAATACTGGCTAAGATCTGTCATCTGTATTCAGCAAGGTATGTTTGACCTGGGACTTCCCATTTCTCAAGGGAGCACTGTCAGTGATAATTCACAAAGTATTCCTAGTCCCTTAGTAACAACATTTAGTGCTCGATACTTACGTATTTACTGAGACGGAGAATGGGAAAATTGCTTAGTCACAGTAAATAGGGCCATCTCCAGGGCTGTGAGACTCCTCAGGTCCCTTTTCTATGGAATATGTCTTAATTTAGTACAAAACTGTAAAGCTTCAGTGAGAGAGATCACAATACACCTGCTTCCATTCTGCCTGTGCCTTAAATACATGATGTTTGTGGTACTGTGCTGCCAAGTGAGAGTGCAGGAACTCCAGTAGGAGAGGAGGCTGTTGAACCTGAGATTTCCAAACTTTGGATGAATGATCTAATGCTGGAAAGAAGAAACTGCTCCTGTTCAGTGTTGTCCTTTTTTGTGACGCTGAACTTGCCTGTCTTGTTTTCCTCGTTCTGATTAGTGCTCACCATAAAACTTCTGGATTGTTTCACCCTGCTGCACTGCCTCTCCAGGCAGATACAAGAGTTATTCAAGCCCCCTGTGAAGGCTGCAGTTGCAAGGCTTCCTTCAGTTGTGTAAAAAAGGCTTCATCTACTTTTTCTTGTGGTCAGGTAGTCAGTAGCAGATGCTTACCGTTACATTACCTGTTAGTTCGTGCTGATCACTCACTCATCAGTAGTGACTATCTCATTAATTGCTCCAAGGAGAGCTTCATACATTCAATCCACTCCTGTGCAAATGCACCTTCTTGCTTCTCTAGTCCTTCTTTCCATTCAGTACAGCACTCAAGCCATGCGAGCTGTCCCACCAAGTCTCTGTAATGCCAATGAGATTATAGTTTTGCGACAACACTTGGGCCACTAACAACTCCTGTTTGTTTCACGTGTGTGGGTGTTTGTGGACAGGCACTTGAGGTGGGCCACCATGTGCACTGCTTTCCCACGGGAGGCTTGAGCTTCTATCATCCTCTCCTGAGGCATCTCCTCACAGCCTCTGGTTTTGCATTTCTCTTCAGGCTATGGTAATCCTGTCTCATTGTACCCGCTTTAAGCCCTCCTTACTAGGTTAGCAACCCTAGAAGGAAAATGTTTGCAAAGGTGCTTTTGCCA